CACACACCCCAGGTGCTGGCCTCTATGCGTTCGTTGTATGAACATTTACTGAGTGCTCGCTGCGTGTACATAAACAGGAGTTGGCCTCCTACACCTGCCTGTCGTCTGCCCTTCTTCCCTACCCGTGCTTTCCTGCACATCTGCCCCAAGCGTGCACACACAGTGCAGGACCGGGTGCACGTCAGGCCCCACACACTACACTCCCCTTCCCCCCAGGACTGAGTCCAGCCCAGACTTCCCGGTGCTGCTGGTGGAGAAGTTGCTTCAGGAACATCTGGAGGAGCAGGAGGTCGCACCCCCAGGTGACCCCCCCCTCCCCATATTATCTCTTATTGTCGGGAGCCTTGAATGCTGACTTGGGGCCCTGCCGGTATCCACAAGCTCTGTTGCAGTAGGAGCCAGCCACAGTATACAGTCGGTACTCAATATGCATTTGTTTTCCTGTCCCCCAGCGCTGCCGCCTAAACCTCCCAAGGCAAAGCCTGCCCCTGCAGGCCTGGCCAATGGGGGGAGCCCGCCCTCCCTGCAGGACGCTGAGTGGTACTGGGGTGACATCTCCAGGTAGGGTTGTGGGATGGGGCCACGTGGCGGGCAGGGCCTGAAGGGCAGGGTCTCTGGGTGGGCATCCCAATCCTGGGTGTCCCCACAGAGAGGAGGTGAACGAGAAGCTCCGGGACACGCCTGATGGCACCTTTCTGGTCCGAGATGCGTCTAGCAAGATCCAGGGGGAGTACACACTGACCCTCAGGTGGGGGCCTGTCCCTTCAGGGGGTGACTGGGTGTGGGAGCTGGGAGGGACGCCACCAGGTCAGAAGGACCGGGGGTGGCATGGGGAGTGGGAAATGTGCAGTGTCAGCCAGGATGGCTGGGGGTCCCCCTGGCTGCTGACCCCCCCCACCCGCCCCCCAGGAAAGGCGGGAACAACAAGCTGATTAAGGTCTTCCACCGCGACGGGCACTATGGCTTCTCAGAGCCACTCACCTTCTGCTCCGTTGTGGACCTCATCACCCACTACCGCCATGAGTCACTGGCCCAGTACAATGCCAAGCTGGACACCCGGCTCCTCTACCCCGTGTCCAAGTACCAGCAGGTCTGTGGCCCGGGGGGTGGCAGCCAGGGAGGGCGGCGCCAGCCTCGGGCCTAAGCGTCCCGGGCAGCTTCTCTGATCACACCGGGTGTCCCCAGGACCAGATCGTCAAGGAGGACAGTGTGGAGGCGGTGGGTGCCCAGCTCAAAGTCTACCACCAGCAGTACCAGGATAAGAGCCGCGAGTATGACCAGCTCTATGAAGAGTACACCCGCTCCTCCCAGGTACCACAGGCACGGAGGGGCAGTGGCGAGGCCCTGGGGACAAACGTCTGCTTCCAGGTCACAGAGCAGCCATGTAGCGCCTGGGCTGCCCTAAAAACAAATCAGTGTTTTAAAAAAAGAGAGAAAGAACTGATGAGAAAGCACCAGCCAGCCCCCTGGGAGCAGCTGAGTCGGGACCTAGGAGGTGTCTCCTTGAGCCTCTGTGGCTCCCTGGGCCTCACTTGCCCCATGTGGAACTGTAAACTGGGGCCATGGTCTGTTTCTCCCTGCCCTTGAACCTGGATGTTACTCAAAGTGCTAGCTAATAACCTGACAAGAGTTGATAGAGACAAAGAGTCAGGAGGTCATGGGAAAGGGCAGCGTCTTTTAAAACAGGGAAGGGGGAGGACAGCTTTATCACATGAGGACTCTGTTAATAAATTACTTTCGTAAGTCGGGATGTAGCTTATTCAGACCAAACGTCCCATCTCAGGCAGAGAATACCTCCATCCCCCCTGTTATCCCCAAGAAATTTCTTTCTTGTCTCCGTTTTACCTGATGGATCAACGGAGGCTCTGAGTAGATAAGATGCCTGTCTGGGATTGGTTATGAACATCAGAATCTTGGAAGTGACGTAGGGTCCCCGAGTCTCGGTTTCCCCATTAATAGTTCTGACTTTGTAGGAGGCTATTGGCAGGTTCTACAAGATGATGTATAGAAAGTACTCCGCGAAGCATCTACCCTGAGAGGGAGCCCCACGAACTGTATGTCGGAACTAGATTTGTCTTTAATTCCCAGCAGTGCTAACAGATCCAGTTGTTGGTAAGGTACCCAAAAGAGGATCTAAAGGAAGACTGGGTTTGGGGAATGGGGTTCTGAAGGCTGAATAGGAGTTTGTTCAGTACAGTAGGAGCTAGAGGAATAATGCACCTGATAGAGGGAACAGCTTGAGCAAAGCCTCCATATTAGAGTTGGGATCTGCCTTCATCCCTCATGAGGGACTTGTAAGGAGTCTTGGCAGAAACTAAGTTCACCCCCTTCCCGCAGGAACTGCAGATGAAGCGCACAGCAATTGAGGCCTTCAATGAGACCATCAAGATCTTTGAAGAGCAGGGCCAGACGCAAGAGAAGTGTAGCAAGGAATATCTGGAGCGCTTCCGACGTGAGGGCAATGAGAAAGAGATGCAGAGGTGAGTCAGCTCCTCTGCCCTGCCCTGCCCTGCCCTGCCCCACCCTGATCTGGTGCAGTGCAAGTGGGGAAAGAAAGGAAACGGTGGGGCATCCTGAGTTCCAGGAGGGGGGGGTCATTTGAAATGGGCTTTGATGGATGAATAAGAGTTCACTAAAAAGAAATCAGGGAAATCAGCATGTGCAAAGGCTTAGAGGCTGGGAGCCATCTGAGGCCTCAGCCGCTCCTCCCACAGGATCCTGCTGAACTCCGAGCGGCTCAAGTCTCGCATCGCTGAGATCCATGAGAGTCGCACAAAGCTGGAGCACGAGCTGCGGGCACAGGCCTCAGACAACCGAGAGATCGACAAGCGCATGAACAGCCTCAAGCCAGACCTCATGCAGCTGCGCAAGATCCGAGACCAGTACCTCGTGTGAGTGCCTGGCTCCGGGCTCACCTGCGGGCCCCTCGGTTCAGGGCCATTTGGTGAGGTGATCTCTGCCGGTGTCTCACTAGTGTTTTCTCCAAGTGGCCCCACCTTGCCCCTGAGACCCCTCACCTGTCCCCGAGCCCCCTCCCTCTCAGTCAGGCTCCTCCTGGCCCCCTCGGCAGGGCTCCCTATGGGTTGGCCCCAGCCTCCTAGTTGTCCGTGAAATGGGAGAACTGCTCCCACGGGGCTGGGTCATTGGGAGCCTCCACCAGGATCCACTCCGTGAATGCCAGCTGTATGACCCCGCACATGCTAAGGCCCCAGCAGCCCCAGCCTGGGCTCAAATCCCGCCTCTGCCCGCTGAACCACTGCCTTAGATGCCTCCACGGCCCTGCCGTGCGCCAGGCTCTGTGCTGGATGCCCTGTGCACAATGAGCTCACTCTGTCTTCTCAAAGTTCTTTGTAAAGTTGCCCCTTGGGGCGACTGGGTAGCTCAATCGGTTGAGCAGTCTGCCTTCGGCTCAGGTCATGATCCCAGGGTCCTGGGATCGAGCCCCGTATCGGGCTCCCTGCTCCGCGGGGAGCCTGCTTCTCCCTCTCCCTCTGCCTGCCTGCGTGTCTGCCTACTTGTGATCTCTCTCTCTCTGTCAAATAAATAAAATCTTAAAAAAAAATAGAATAAAAAATAAAGTTGCCCTTTAACAGCTGAGGGAAACTGAGGTACAGGACAGACAGCTGCCCTGTGTGAAGGCACACTGCCGTGCAGCCCTCAGTCCTAAGCCTCTGGTAGTGATAAAGACCTTGCTGGAATGGCGCATTCTGGGGGTTCAATAAGAGTTAACAGACACACAGTAATAAGTAGGGCGTTCCCTGGAAGGCCCCCAGGTTCAAGCTTTCCTTGACCAAGCCGAGGCTGACCCCTCGTGGCAACTGGCGGCATTGCACCGAGAACCGGCCCTCGGACGTCCCCCCTTGGCTCCGGCCAGGCCGCACTGGCCCACCCTGGGCTAGCGGGCCTGTGCTACAGCCTCTGTTCCCCTACCAGCAGAGCGGAACGAGCCCACCTTTCCTCTTCCTCCAGGTGGCTTACCCAGAAGGGCGCCCGACAGAAGAAAATCAACGAGTGGTTGGGGATCAAAAATGAGACTGAGGAGTAAGTGAACACCTACCTGATGGGGGCCAGGGAAGGCATCCCAGAGGAGGGACCGTTTTCAGTGGGTTTTGCAGAATGAGTAGGAGTTCACCAGGGAGGGAGCGTCGTCCACGCGGCCGGGGAGCCTCAGAGGCTTGGGGGGGTGAATGACCGGGTCCCCTCCCTGCTTCCCGCACAGCCAGTATGCGCTGATGGAGGATGAGGATGACCTCCCCCACCATGAGGAACGCACGTGGTATGTGGGCAAGATCAACCGGACACAGGCTGAGGAAATGCTGAGTGGCAAGCGGGATGGTACCTTCCTCATCCGGGAGAGCAGCCAGCGGGGCTGCTATGCCTGCTCCGTGGTGTGAGTGCCTGGTGGGGGCGCCCAGAGCGAGCGGGGGGCTGGGGGGTCTGCACACTCCTGACCGCTCTCATGGAGCACCTGCCGTGGGCTGGACTCTGGGAAGAACGGCCAGGAAGGAGCCCCGCCCGCCCGCCGCCGCCATGGCTGCCGCCGGCCCGAGGGCTTGTTGGGGGGCGAGGGAGGAAGCAAGGGCGGCGTTCGGGCAGGACGTGCCGGCATCTGGACCAGGTTGGGGTCCGGGAAGTGGGGCGATGCGAGTCCCGAGCGGAGGTCACCTGAGGGGCGGGAGGGGAGAGCAGGAGCGGGGAGAGCCCCTGCGGGAGCCGCCGCCAACCCCCCGACCGTCGGCCCCTGTGCCTGCGCCCGCAGGGTGGACGGCGACACCAAGCACTGCGTCATCTACCGCACGGCCACGGGCTTCGGCTTCGCGGAGCCCTACAACCTGTACGGCTCGCTGAAGGAGCTGGTCCTGCACTACCAGCACGCCTCGCTAGTGCAGCACAACGACGC